ATTTTCAGATGATGAGAGGACCGATGAAGAAGTTCACTGGTTTCCTGATGAAAAATGTTAGTACAGAGCAAAGCCAAGTATGAATGAGTATGAATGTTCGGAATAACAATATCGCAGATAATGGAAAATTTTTTCGAAGCAGTTCTGCCTACAAATACTGATTTTTTAGAAGAACGTAATTCAATCATATGCTCTTCTATGTCAGAGTATTGTCCAGCTAAGTACGTCAAAATACATACACAGATTTATTTTAACGATTATATTTTCAGCATAGAACTAGAAGGAACTGTAGTTTCTATGAAATGCTACCAGTGCGAAATCAAGTTTTAAAGATTGGTAAGATTTTTGAATTAATTAAGTAGCCTAAAAACAATTTATCTTCAGATGTCAAAAAACCCAATTATAAACATCAACAGAATTCTGAGAAAGAAACTGTGCACTCATAGTTCGGAATGTTACGAGAAACTTACAGGCAATATAGGTTTCACTGGAATAATAGCAGACGTATTTGATCAAAACGTTTGTTACTTTCGTTTATTAGATAACTTTCAAGTATTCAAATTTTCAGAAAAGAATCACAAACATTTGTGAGAACATACTCAACTGCTCGTGACTGTAACGGATACATACAATTGCTCTATTAAATAAGCTGTGTCGTTCGAATAGTTTAGAAATGATTTGAACAAGCTAAAATGAAGATCATGTTCAGATTATCATTCATGACTCACAGCGTCATCGTAATCCTTCACATCAAACAACATCATCATGTTGTTTTCCAAACTCCATTTCCCAGTTTCTTCTAGAGTTGGTAGTGCTTCAGATTTCACTGTTTGGTAATTTCCATCACTGTCAAACTACTTCTCGCTCAAAGAATGATAAGCTCACACAGTTCGCACGAAGTTCGTAGATATATCAGCTTCCTTCANAAAGAATGATAAGCTCACACAGTTCGCACGAAGTTCGTAGATATATCAGCTTCCTTCACTTCAATTAAGATTTTTTTAAGATTAGGAGGACGAAGTAGAGGAAGAAGAAATGAAGGCTCTTCAGATATCAAAAATGCTTTGAATTGAGATATAAATCAACGGTAGAGATATAGTTTTATGTTTTTCCATCACGAACTCGACCCACTTTGATAATTCTATTGTCTAGTTTATTATGTATACTGTTT